ATCTCTACCGAGAACAAATCATTTGAGCCGAGCATTGCACGGAAAACGATCAAAATGTGAAACGAGACAGCATAAAGTGATTTTGCTTCATGACAACGCTCGACCTCACGTCACAAAACTTGTCCAGAAAACGTTACAAGCACTTCGCTGGGAAGTGCTACTCCATCATGCGGCTTATTTACCAGACTGTGCCCCTTCCGACTATCACTTGTTTCGATGGCACACGCACTTGCAGAGGAACACTTCAATTCTTATGGAGATGTTGAAAAATGAGTCTCTGAGTGAATAGCCTCCAAAGATGAGTCATTCTTTCACCGCGAAATTCGCTTACTGTCCGAAAGATGGGAAAAAGTCATCGCTAATGATGAACATTATTTTGATTAAGATACTTTTTCATTTTGTTTTTTAAATAAAATAACCATACTTTTTGCAAAAAACGGAACTTTTCGATTGACCTAATATCGATATCTCGAAAATTTATTCACGTCTATCGACATAAATAAATCGGGTATTTTACGTTCTCCAACAACAGCGCCCAATTTCTATTTTTATCTTTGATGATATGACATGCGATAAACAGGATGCTGTTACGCAAACGTCGACTGCTTCTATCTCTGTCAGACGTACGCGAAGATAAAATCTGATACGCGACAACGCGAACCTGCTAATCCTGCAAACAAAATGGTAGAAACTTGAAACACGTTTATAATGATCACATGAATACTGACATGTCGTACGACGACTTTCGTTTGTTGCGTCGCGATTGTTGGCGAAAAAAATATGAATTTCTAATGATAGACAAGGACAGTGCGCTTAAAGACACGAGATACAGAAAAGGGTTTAACGGGTTTGCGATACTGTAACGTAGCCAGTTGTCGATACTTTGCCAGAGACGAAGCTCTCTTCGCTGACGAGCGCGAGAAAAATCGCGTGAAAAAATCGAGAAAACGAGCGAGTCGTTCCGCAAGAAACATTGTTCTGAAGACTGATAGAATCGAGGAGGACATGGCGTTGGACAGGCATTTTAAGCCTATTATTAAACCGCTACGACAGATTGTTGATAGCCCCGGCGTGCGCGCGATAAAGAGACAGTCGCGCGACAATGACGCAGCGTCTGCTTCCAAGCGCGAGAGGAAGGAGGAGGAGAGGAAGCAAGCAAGAAGTTTGTATACGAGGTCTGTTCAAAAAGTATCACGAATTTTGAATTTCCGCGGGTTACGTATATTCGATTTTCGATTTTTTTGTGGCGTTATGTTGGTACTCATGTCTCTCACTTATGCCGACAAGTTCGGCCATTTTGAATGTTCAGTTAATTTTTGACAGCTGCTTTGCTTGCACGTGTTTTGGCTCGTCTTCGATTTTTGCCTATTCCAAAAAATGGATCAAAGAATCTGTATCAAATTTTGTGTGAAAAACAAAATTAAGTGCGCGGACGCATTC